CGGTCTGGTGGGTTGCAGGCTGGGAGCGGGCAGCCGTCCTCCTCGGCTGAAGCCCCAGTCAGAGTGTTACTGGTTCCAGTGTCTCTGTCAGGCAGATGCTGGTGCACGCCCTGTCCCGCACCTCTTCCTTACCAAAAGGACTTCCCTGAGTTCTAGTAAGATGGCTTAGCTGTCTCTTTTGTGTTACTGGTTATGAAATTGCTATCTATCTCTCTGATAAATATTTTCCAAGAGGAACCTGTTAGGTTTCTGCTTCGGAGAGCCAGAGTGCAGTCATCTCAGTGAGTTCATGTGGTGGTTTGCCCTTTCCAGACTTCCTTGGGAATTACTGAATTAGACAGTCGAAGCTACAATAAAAAGAGGAACAAAGTTGATTTGCATCTTACATCTTAAATTTCAGACTATGGGAGAAGAGCTCACGCAGCAGGAAATAAGAGCAGAACACCGATAAGCTGTGGATTAACGTTCCTCGGCTTTTAATACGTACGTAAAGTTGTGTTAACTTGTCTTGAGTTTTCCTTTTGCAGACTTAACAGGAAACATTGGGGTTTTTTTTTCCCCTCACTGCCCTAAGCAGCTGTCTCAGGCTTACCAAGCAGTGGACGTGGTGGAAAAGGCTCTGCGGTTCCCAGCCGGTGCCTGAGGCCCTTCGGGCGCAGCAGCGGGTTCCCAGGCGTGGGGCAGCCCCGCTCCCCGTCCCCCCGGCACAGCCGTGCCAGGCAGGAGCGCTCGGTTGTCTGCTTGGTTAGATAGAGCCACCCCGAGTGAGAGGACTGGGTGAGTAACAGAGAAGCCTTTTGTTTCCTACTCATTTCGCTGCTAAATATTTCCTTTGAGCGGGAGAGATTTATATCTGGCTCTTGCTCAGTGCTTTGCCAAATCTGCAGCCGGAGAGGGAGCAGCCCGAGACGGAGGGCGAGCTGATGAATGCAGCCGATTCAGGGCAGGCCACGACGTGTGAACAGAAACCTTCTGAAGGGCAGAGCGCCTTCCTTTGTGGGATGGCGCCTCGCGCTTAGAAAGGAGAAAAGGACGCTTTCAGCCCCGGGCAGTCGCCGGGCATAGTTTTGCCTTGGGCTGCACGGTGGCGATGGGGACGGGGCGTCCTGCGGCTCCGGCATCCCGGCCGCGCCGCCGGCGTCCTCGGCGAAACGCAGGACAGCGCAGGGTGTGGCAAGGCAGCAGTACCGGCTCCGCTGCTCGACGAGATTTTGTGGTCGTGGCATGGTCGGCACAGGTTGTGAGTGCAGTTGGGTGTTACCTGAGCATAGTTGTAGCAGCAATTTAGTGTACTGGAAAGCCATGCGTATGTCTATGCATATGTCTATGGGTGTGTATAGGAGAGGGTTGCGCTGACATTTTTATTTCGGCCAGTATGTAGTTCATTGGAACAAGGATTCCAGCCTAAACATGATCTTAATGTGGGACTAATACTATGCTGTTTAAAAAAAATTTCAATTTAACGCTACATAAAAGAGTAAATAAAACACCCTTTCAGCAGACCACATGCCCTTAAGCTAAAGCATGATTTAGATTGTAAGCTGGAATGTGGGAGAAAGGAGGAATGTTGAAAAGCTTACGGGTTTTGTATATCCGTGAGGAGAGGAGTGAACCAGTGGGCAGAAAACACCAGAGCTGTGGCTGCTGCCATTTCCCTTTCAGCCACCCTGGGGAGGGATGGAAGGGTGAGGAGCAATGGGGCCGTAAGACACCACTTCTAAGTACCTTGGTTTCTGAATGGAGGAGCTGTCTGAGAGGAGTGTGCAACACCTTGGAAGAGTATAAACCAGCATGCGGGTTTTGTAGCGTGCAGAGAGGAGGCACTACAAGGAGGCAGGACGTAGCCTGCTGTTTCTGAGTACCTGGCAGGGCTGCGCTGGGGCACATAAACACGACTTAAACAAAAGACAAAGTTATCACAATGTTGGTATCAAATTGGCATCTCCCAAATACCAGCTTAACCACAAAATGTTCATGTTTGCTTTTTTACTAGAATTCAAGTGCAGGACACC